AAAAAAAAAAAAAAAAAAAAATGTCATTCTAGCTCTGTAGATAGATCAGAGATAATGAACACCAACGACAACTTGACTACTTATTTTTCTATACAGATGAGAGAGATGGAACATCATCTGTCCATGAACAACATGTTGCTCAGTCAGAGCACAAAGCATTAAATCAAAATAACTCACGATATATGATCACTAGTATGCACCTAACAAAGGACAAAGTTTCTCTTGATTCCTCTCATAAAGAAAGTATCTGTACTTAGGACTCTTTATCTTCACTTTCTCCTGGGAGAACCCAATATTCCTTTAATCTAAAAAGCCTAAAAGAGTCCATGTGATTTTAGAGACAGCATATCCTAAGTGGTCCCACACCCATGGGTTAAAGAGGAGAATTGCTGCCATAAACCTACCCTCCTGCTTAGTGACCAATGGACTTTAGTCTGACATGCTATCGTCCTGCTGGGTGAGGGCTGGGTAAAAGATCTGAGGAAGCTCTGGGGAGAAAGGAAGTTGATTTAGGTCACTGCTGCTCCTCCACATCCAAGCCAATGAGATGAAGAATTCAAAATTATCTGCAATTTGCCCAGTGATTTCCTGGGAGGCTCTGAGGAAGGGGAACGGCTGTGGTAACAACTTTTTCTCAATTCTGCCTGACCATTTGCAAAAAACAGGTTCCTCTCCCATTAGCCTGCTACCGACAAGACTGGAGTGCGTTGCTAGAAGTATGTAGCATGTGCAGGGGTGAGCATGGTGTGCGTCTGGCTGCGGCTGAAGAGTGGAGCACAGTGTGGAGGCGTCACCCCAGCCCACTGGCCTCCAGGCATAGGAGCTTTGGCTAAACCTTATTCGCTGATTGCAGGCAAGTCTCTCCCTGGCCATCCCCAACTCCAACAACTCTTTAGAATTGCTGGCCCATTCAGGTACCTTCTGCACATCAAATCCCACATCCGTATCCCAAAGCTGATTTCCAAGAGAAGGTGCACAAATAGACTAAGTCTGGATCTTACCTTTTGGCTTCCTCCAAGTGGCACAAATATTCGTAAGCGATATTCTGCCGCCTCCTCTCATCCATCTCCTCTGCAGAGAGCCTTTCATCGTCCACGATAGCTAGAAATAGAGGATAACAACACATGACTTATAAAGGCAGTCTTCATTAAATAAACACCTGAGACAATCAACTAGAAAAAAAACTCATACGCAGCTCAACACTGAACACTCAAAGACAGCTGTACTGAAACATCAAGCATAGAGAGAGATTTGTCTTTGGATTTTACAATATTCTATTATTTCTAAAAAAAAAAAAAATACTGAAGTACGGATTGAAATTATTAATAGAATGAGAATAGTAATCAAATTTCATGCACATGATGCCATAGGATTTGGACGGCCTCAAATCAATTAGAGCATTGTCTAACAGCAACAGTTTTAGTCTGCAAGACTGCAGAATTGGTCCAGTGGCTGAGCTTGGAGGCAATGCCACCAGTAGCATCCCACAAATCCTGGTATTGAACAAAGAATCTACAAGTACTCATCATCATTTTCCAATCCTTGAGGGAATCGAGGCCTTATATCCAACCCAAAAGACCAATCAATCCTATTTTAGGGATGCCAAAGTCTATAAAATGTCTCCCTCACCTATTTCTTGGCCTTTACAAGGCTAACCTTTCTGGTCAATGGGTATCTGAAAGGAAAAAGCAATGAAGACAGCAAGTGAGTAGAGTTTGAGCCCACACTCTTTATTCCAAATCAAGCCTACTTATCGATTTCAACACTTAGCCTTGCTTTTCTGTAGAGAACACCGCCTCACCATTTCCTGACGGCACTTCCTCTGCCCACAGCCTCAACAGCATCCAGGCAACCATGGGAACTGTCACATCAGCCAACTCTTCATTATTTACATAACAACACTCTTTTCTCATAAAAAGGACTCCTTTTCCCTCCTCAATCCTGAGCTTTAATTTTGGTAGCCATAAAACTAATTACTCATCTAATGAGGACAATGTGTGCATGTGTACACATGCATGCAACAGGGATGTGGCTGTTTTGTTTCCAAGCTCCCAGCTCCAGTCAGCCATCTCAGAAATGGGACCCCCTGGTCACAAGCAGAAGAAATAAGGATGTGAAGGTCACCCGTTCATCTCTAAAGAAAGCCATGCTAACCCTATGCCCTGCTGAGGAGAAGTCAAAATGATCACCCTGGCAGACACAAGGAATTAAAGCCAAATTTTGAACTCTTACTGAAGCAAGTACAATGCTAAATACTTAAGATCTAAAAACAATACTAAGCCTTCAAAGAACTCAGAAGAAAAGGGAGATTAAACTTACATCAATATAAAAGACGGCAAAATACCATAAGCACAGAAGCATATACTAGATGCTTGTTTATTGAGCCCTTTCTTTGTTTCACGGCCTTTGGCAAAGGGCTTTCTCTGCATCCTCGAATTTAAGCCTCATGACTCTATGAAGTGGGTAATTTTCCCCACTTTACAGTTGAACAAACAGACTGAGAGGTCATTTGCTCAAGTGAAGAGCAGAAACATTAGGCCCAGAATGATTTGGACAAAATGGAGAAAACAAGAAAAGCGTGGAAGAACTTTGGGAAATGTCTCTGTTTATGGATGAGGAAGAAAGGGAACCAGCAGAAGGGGAGGAGGAGAGAGGTGAGATACGGAAGGGCACCAGGGCGGGCTGGAATGTAACAAAAGTAGTGCCCAAAGGGGCAGGAGTTTCTGCAAATGTCCCCAATGCCCCCCTTTTTACCCCTCCCAATTTTCCATCGTGGCTCCATTCCTTAAACAGGGAGACCTCATCCCAGACCAATGATACCAAGAGAGCTCAACAAAGATTGACATTTGTCAAAAGCATCTTCTTTTTTTTAATAAACTCAATCCAAAATAAACTTTAAAAGAGCTCTCATGTTTCAGAAAAGCACAGACAGGCGCTCTCAATCTTGCTCCGCATCTCCACCGCGAGAGCCCAGGCCTTCCAGGTCTCTCCCCACAAAGCTCTTGAAACAGGTCCCGTGGCTCACCCAGCACCCTCCTCCACCCATCCTCCCCACTGGCACCAGAAGCATCTTTCTAACACAGGGTCTGGCTGATGTCATTCCCCCTCTCAAAACCTCTGACGCCTCCCCGTTTCTTACAGAACGGAGTCCTAGAACACTGTCCGTCTCCTCCCCTCCACGAAGCCTGCACTTCAGCCACCACTTCTAGACCACACCACTCCCTTTGATGTTCAGCGCCTCTGCTCCCCCGTCTGGAAAGCCATTCTCCTACCTTCTACGTTTGACACCTTTGACATCTTCTCAAGCGAAATTCCATGGATCTGCGAGTCTGAACCTATCCACTCTCCTCAGCACCTGAGTTCACATTATTACATCACTCACGAGAAAAGCCGCCCACTGTCCAGCAGTCTGTCTCCCTCTCCAAACCGGGGAGTCCTCAGAGGAGGAGACTGCTTTGATTCCTCTCCACACCTCCCTCGCGTCTGTCAGGGCTCCTTGCACACAGACGGCATTCCACACGTGCTGAAGAAGTACCTTCCAGTGAATCCTTCTAAGCGAGCTAACCACTATCCTAGAATGAACAGACTTTGAAAACCATGATTTTCTTACCCTGGGTTATCTTAGGAGACCTGGCACTGCCACATCCCATCACCTAATCCTCCATCTCCACTGTTCTGAACAGTTCCTCCCCAGGTGGCCCATCACGTCCGATTTCTTATTTTAATTTCAGTTTAAAGACTATTTCTCATTTCTGACAGGGTATTTTCATTTTATAGTACTATCAGGCACACTAAAGCTTGAAACCAAAATAAAACTCCTTGTGGGAGCCCACAGGTTCGTTCTACCACCCCCTACTCATAAGTGTGGACGCCGGGCTCACGCTCAGAAGGCAGTGCCCTCCCTGCCTCCCTTCCTGGCTGCCAAACTCTTCCAGCCTCAGAAAGCCCACCGAGGAGGAGGCCCACCTGGCCCCTGGCCTCTCCCTCCACCTGCATCCACAAACCACACAGGAGTCCACCCGCCCAGGAGAGCCACTGAGAGGCTCCCAAACTCTGCCATCGCCCTATCCAAGTAAAAGGTTTTATTTAATGCATGAACTAAAACACTGCATCCACAAGGTTTTAAACTGCAATTGCAACGTATTGACCTTGGCTAATGGGATCCTATCTATCTTCAAGGCTCGACCCAAGGGTCCCCTCCTTCCCAAAGTCTTCCTGATGGTCCCCACTCAAAATACCCTCTCTCCTGACACCTTCTACACTGCCTTGGTTAACAGTAAACTCCTAGAGGACTTAATTGGGTCCTCGTGGTGCATCACAGTTCCCTGCATGGGTGGCATGCTTCATTAAAATATTTGAACAAATAAAATCTCTTATCAGAAAATGCTAATGAAAGGGTTTCAAAATATCTATGTGGGGTAATTTTGCCTATTACACTGAATAAAATAACAGTGCGGTTATTAATGGAGCAAATATAGTACAATTCCATAGACTTCACTCAACTATGCTCAATTCATAGGTTGTATGTGCCAGGCATGAGTCAAAGCACCAGAGGTAGATAGAGAACAAAACAAACACAAAATATTTGCCCTCAGGGGGCTTCTTCGTGCACATCCCTCACTTGTGACCTTCCACACACCTGGCCCACACACTTCAGGCTCACTTTACTTCAATCAGTGGTAGAGAACACCTTTCATGACCTATTGTCAGAGTATAATTCAAGGTCGGGAGTGTGAGAAAGTCTTAATAGCAAAAGATCCTTCTGGGCCACAGAGGCTGCCTGCAAATATTTCTGCATTACTCAATATTTACTAAGTAATGACTTCGATAAGAACCAGTGACAAGGATAATAACCCTGCCATTTAAAGATCCATCATGGAGTTAATAAAATAATTCATTTAAGATATGACTTTACCACCTATAAAGCATTTTTCCATAGTTATTGTGTGGTTCTCAATCACCCTGAGAGATAGGCACTAGCTCTTTTTTACAAATGAGGAAACCAAAGTCAAGCAAGTGAAAGGGAAGGCCCATGGTTATTTGCTGGATTAATGGCAGAGCCAGGGCTGGAACTAAGGTCTTTCAGTGTCATGGTCTTTTTTTTTTTTTGCTTTCTACAGTTGAACATTTATTATTATTTTTTTAATTTATTTTTTAATTTCAGGTTGTTACAGGGGGAAAAACACTTGGTTACATATATTGCCTTTGCACTGCTCGAGTCAGAGCTACAAGAGTGTCCATCCTTCAGCACACATCCAAAGGAAAAAAAGACATTCTATAATAAAGACACCTGCACTCAAATGTTTATAGTAGCACAATTCACAACTGCAAAGATGTGGAAACAACCCAAGTGCCCATCAGTACATGAGTAGATTAATAAAATGAGGTATATGTATACCATGAAGTACTACTCAGCCATAAAAAATGATGGTGAATTAATATCTCTCGTATTATCCTGGATGGAGCTGGAGCCCATTTTTCGAAGCGAAGTATCACAAGAATGGAAAAACAAGCACCACTGTACTCACCACTAAATTGGTATTAATTGATCAACACTTATGTGCACATATGGAAGTAACATTCATCGGATGATGGTAGGTGCAAGGGGGGTGGAGGGAATGGGGTAAATTCGCAATCCTTATTCTTTGCCCAGTGCCTCCTGCTGCTAAATCCATTAATAAGTGAGCCCAGGAAGGTACCTGTCACTGCCAAACCCAAGGAGGTCATTTAAGTGGCTTCAAAATTCCTTTTAAAGTAACTTAATTAACTGTGATCTCCTCTAAAGTTCATCTTTATCTGCTGCCTTGAACCCCAAGAAACACAAAGACATTGTAAAGAACACAGCTCTCTGATGTTTTAGTAACTCACAAAATGCCATTTGTAGCTTCAGTTGACATTGGCTAAAAAATTTCTAGGGAAATTAATGACAGAGCTTATTCAGAGATTTAAGGAGCAGAATGAAAGTGAGTCAGTAGAGAAGGTTTTGAAATATAAATCAGAGATGGAAGGAACCTTAAGGAGTCCACTTCCCAACAAAAATCCAATGTAACAACAGCCCGAAACCTACCTCATTCAATGAGGAGTTGACATGGTCACCGTTT